CCTCAAGAGTTAAATGGTCGGCCCCTTGACCGAACGTGACCACTTTCAGCGGTCTATTAGTTTCCCGTAATGACTGGCAGTCCATTACGTAAAAACAAACGCATGAATTTTAAAACAAAACAGCAAATTTAATTGAAAACTATAATTTATAAGATATCTGCGAAGCTTTTTACATTGTTATTTTTGTTTTCTTCGATCAAATGTGTACCACGCTACTAATATGCATTTTAAATCTTGCACTTCTTGTTTGTGTCAAGTATAAATGCCGGGCGAGGTTTGTTCAAAAAGACCGAGGTCCGATATTTATCTGTACATACCGAGCAAAAAATTAAGTGAGGTTAATAAAAAGTTTATTATATGGCATTTATACAGTACTTGAAACAATTAATCAAGAAGTGCATGATTTGAAATGCATATTAGTAGCGTGGTATACATTTGGTCGAAGAAAACAAAAATAACAATGTAAAAACCTGCAAATGTACCCAAACAACGAGGTCCAAATACATTTTTAAACTATTCAAATGATGAAAGTTATTGTTGTTTTTAAGCGTTTATTAGCCAGTGGGAAACACCAACATGGCCGCCATCTATTCAAATGGGGGTAACCGCTGGAATATTCTTGGCTTTAATTTTACTAAAAGAGATGCGCTATCTAGTTTATATAAGATATCTAGTGTATATATAAGATATCTATGACATTCCCTAATATAAAATTTAATTGTATTAAATTAAAACTTGACCAACACCAACTAACAACTTGCATGAGTACAATATAACAAACATACTTGCAGGGAGGTGAGTCCGGGATTGGACGCACCTAGGGTGGCTGGAAGTTTCCCGATGTCACTGCACACACATGCCACTTCGGTAAAATACTAAAAAGTACTGGAGAATTTTATACGCATTTTACGTTTTAGTATACTGATAATTTCGTGTTTGGATAACGAACATTTTAGCCGCCAACATACTACGCAAACAAACACACTTAGGCTTAAATTAAAGCTAAAAAAATTCTCTACAATATTCCCTTATTCTTGTAAAGAGAAAATGAACACATTCTGCGAAAACAATGCCAAGATTTATATAAACCTGCCGAACAAATTTCGGCGGCCATCTTTCTTCTCTTCCACTTTGAATACAGAATACTCCATTTTCATCAAACAAAATAAAAAATAATAATTATAAAACAATTAAAAACGGTTAATTTATTTTTTATTTTAATCTTCGTCTGAAATTTGTTCAAATCGCTTCAAAATGGCCGCCGCCGAAACATCGATCTCGAACCCACCTCCTAAACATACGTCAGCAGGTGGGTTCGAGATTGAACGTACCTCCTCGTAGCCAATAGGAAAGCCGCTAATACGCTAGGTATGAGATAATATACTATGTCTACGTGTTGTTTTCTCTTCAATTATTTGCATGACAATATTACTGAATTCTGATTGGTGAGAGCAGTTCAATTATCTTATTAATTGTACTCCAGTACAGGAGTTGCACTTGGGGATCAGTTTGAGCGAAAGTATTCAAAATGGTGGCTTATATAAGTGTCAATTTCTTTGGGGTTTTGTTCACAATTTTTGTACTCGCCATCGCATGATTACTAATAGTTCGTCAAGGTAAAATATTTTTTTTAATATTCTATAGGAAGTTGATCAAATGTTTAAAACTGAAGAAAGTCAACCAGCGTGGCTTGTAAGTATTACCGACTATATTATTATTAGAATAATGATGATTAGCATATTACTCGGGAGGTGGATAGTATTTTTCTCCCATTTTGATTGGTTGCTCTGCTCCGAATATCCTTGTACTATTCACTTCCGGACAAAAACAAAATGACTTCCCGTTTCGTTCTGGTTACAGACGAGCGAATGTTTGTGCGAAACAAAGCTGCGGTTTCGCCAAACACGAAGAAAGGTCAATGTTAAAATTGCCGAAATGGTGTAAATACTGTTTTGTTTACAACCACTGCGGGAGCTGAAATGAAATGCAAGTTGTTTTAAAAATATTTTTGTTGGTTTTTTTTGTCATTTTTGTTTTGTTGTGGTATATGCTAAAACAATTATTCACCTCGGTATCGGTGAATAAGTGCACGGTACTCATCTCAACGCTTCGCATTTCGGTGAATACCCTTGCACTATTCATCGACACTGAGGCATGAGGTGAATAATTGTTAATTATTTGTCATCACTTGTTGGTCTGTTTTGTCTGTCACAAATCTCTCGTTATCAAACTGCATGAATGACGCATCGTCTCGGAAAGTATTTACTGTATTTCATGACAGCAGTTTATTGTTTAAGGTAAACAAGAGGTATATAGCACCACTGTTGCTAGCTTATGACGACCGCATTAAAGAGAAGCAAGCAATGTTACAGACGTACGAGGTAAATATTCATCTATACATGATATATACTCATACCTTAACATGGCATATACCCTATGGTATACATGAACTTGTGGTTAGAGCTCAACAAATGGACTACTCTCGATAATTCCATCTACAAATCCCATCAACTGTGACAATAACAACCATGCATGCACTGCAATTGACAGGAATTGTCTGGAAACACCATGGAAAATCTGCCGTCATTATTGACATCCGCGTGATATGCATGGCTATATAGTAATATGTGAAAACTAACCCTCCAGTGTATAACTAACGCTCTGCCGAAAGTATTGGGTTTTGTCAAACAGGAAAGTTAACATGCAGCTAAACAACTTAGGATTTCGTTTAATTGTAGACTTGTTGTTGGGGGTTAAAATATGTCATCGCCTTCCTGGGGCCGCGGTTGTTAAAAGGGGGGTTAGCGCTAACCCTGGGTTAAAATTTAACCTGCTGTTTTAGTTTGTGTGTTTCTGCATGCACGTCTGTTTATTTCAAAACTTCAGAGAAGTAAACTCCTATCGATCCAGACAAGATCTCTGTAGAAATATTTCCAAATTTATAGACAAGCTGTCAGGAAGTTTACTTTGAATTTTAAGTTAACCTAGGGTTAAGCTAACCCAGCTCTGGACAACTGGCCCCAGGTTGATGTTATTCTGCTGTCGGCATTGTTTTTTCCATCTTTTTGTCTAAAAGCCGATTTACACGGCAGCTCGGCACGCCTACTAACAAGCACCAGCCTCGTACCCAGGCGCAAATAACGTACTAAAAATAGCAACACTACAGTGGTTTTATATAGATCAGTGGCTAAGATGAGCGAGCGCGGGGGGTGCTTGGGGAGGACACGACTGGGTTCTGCTATATAAAAACACTGAAGTGTTGCTATTTTTAGTACGTTATTTGCGCCTGGGTACGAGGCTGAACAAGCACCAGTACTCAGACGTTCACTTCACCACGTACCCATTTACACGACAATTTTGACAAGCTATATTTTTATGATTGGCACCCCCACACTTCAAATCTTTATGCAAGAGTATTTGCACAGTTCTAATACGACTGAAGAAACGAACCGAGTTAACAGAATTATGTTGCATTAAATGAACGAAGCTAAGGAGAAAAAATCATCGCGGACAGAAGACAAAAAATATATCAGTTGTACATAAATATGTTCAAAGTGATTATTTAGTGTTCAAAGTGATAAATTGTGGATAAATCTTTTGTTTAATGTGACTAGACAGGCAATTTACTGGCCTTTAGTAGATAGCTGGCTATCTGCATGTGAAAATGAACGAATAGACTTTTTTTAAAAGTCTGCCTTTTGACGTAGTTTGCGGATAAAGGAAAACCCCTCTCAGCCATTTGGCTTGCCTGATTGGCCAAATGATCGTATTTATCCGATCGATTGCTTACCATGCAGCCAACTTACCATGCAAATATATTGTCTTGATTTTCAGGAGCAATTACAAACTTTTAAGAACAGTCTTCATAAAATAATGGAGGAAAATGTCCAACTTCAAGAGGTAAATTACGAATAATGTACAGTGAATTAGAATAACACGCACAGAGGCGTAGTCAATCCCAAATTGTTGAGGTGTCTAATCGGCCGGCCTGGAGATCATGCATGAACCGGGAAATTTTTCTGCGACACGCTATTTCGTGCATTTTAGACAGGTTTTATCTAAAAGCCACAGATTTTGTATATTTTATGTCATAGATGAAAACATTAAGTGGCTAAACCCCCAGTCTCTCCTCAGTTTTGAAAGAATTACAAAATTGGCCCTGAGGAAAAGTGTGTGTGAGTGGGGGTCTGCACACCGTACCCGCGATAATCTTTGAGCATGTTTCTTACTCGAGCATGTTTCTTTTCTAAATTGCACTCAGGAAAATACCGTCCAATATGGATTTCGAAAATGTACGTCAAACGAACTAACTATAGTGCTTTTGACCTCACGAATAAAATTACAAGGCCATTGACCAAGAGCAATACAAAATATAGATCTTTCGTCTCTTTTTTGACTATTTGATTAAGAAATTAGAATACTTGTATTTTGGTAGCAGGTTTGAGAACTACAGTATCAACCGAAATGAATAACTCATGGTGTTCTTCATGGGTCAAGATAGGGACGTCTCCTCTTTATTGTACACAATCAAGATGTCATTATCACCATTTTCTGTATCTTTCCTGGTTAACCGGTTAAACATTTAACAGTGGCCTAGGGGGGGGGGGGAGAACTGCTTATCAGAAAGTTCCTATAGCTACCCTTCTTCCTTACGAAATCAAACACCAAAATGGCATGTCTATTTTCTCCCATACGATCACATGATGGGTTCTAATATCCCATCAAAGAATGCCACCTTCGACAGCCTCAGGCGAGGGCTGAGAGAGTGAACATGTTTTAGGCCCTTTGACAACATACGCACGTCAGTGACTTCCTGGTTGATTTTAGATCAATATTACAATACAGTTCAGAAATGTACTTGCAAAACTTAATTTGGCGAAATCATAAACTGTTAACGGAACTAATACTTTCTAAAGCTCTAAATGTTGAATGGTAACCTACTTTAATTTTCAGAAACTTGGCAATTCAGAAGCAATAATGCATGATGAGGACGAATGGTGAGTACAGTATATTTTTTCCAGATTGATCTTGCCTAAAGTTCGAAGATTGATTTAGTGATATAGTAATCTATTCTCTACCGATATTAAAAATACCTGATATTCAACGGTAGAATATTTATCATTTATAGACCCGGAGCGAGGGGGATTTGGCCGAGTATTATCCGAAGCGATGATATTGTCCGAGGGACTTTGCCCCGAGGGAAATATCATCACTGAGTGTAATATTTCGTCGAATACCCCGAAACTTTAAAACTTGAAGCGAATACAATTTTTAATTTCTTATGCATACCTGATGATGATCATTATGTATACCTGATCATTGAAGGTAACATATATACGTCTTGAAAATCTTTGGTTAACTTAAATAAATATTAAAATCCTCTGTACGAAATTACAAACAACAGCTCGCGATCGCCATATTGTTTCAGAGCGTGGTGTCCACGCGTCACGCATGAGATACTATAATATCTCACGGTGGATCTACCGTGAGATATTATAGTATCTCACGCTGCATTGCGAAATCATGAATTTGAGTGAAATACCGCAAAAAATCACATTGTCACGTGGTACAAATCATGTTTTTTCATTGGACAATTTGAATTTGAAGTATAAGATATAGTGAAATCTTCTTCCTTCAGGCGACAATTGGAAAAACAGGCTAAGCTGGTATTGAGTGAAAATGAAGTATTAATGGAAAGGCAAGAGTTGCAAAACAAAAAGTTAGAAGAAGTCACTGCATTTTACAAAGGAGAAGGTATTTGAAACATGCGTGTGGTTGGAGTGGCTTTAAAATTTATTTCACAGCTTCGTACACAGATGCAATCCCTTAGGAGATTTAGCACAACGACCGCCTTCGCCACGCCTATGTGGCTTTCTTACATATATGGGTTTACAAAGTTTGTGTCAGCAAAGTGCTCTTGTTATAAAGTTTGATCACGCAACATCATGCCATTGTGACTACAGAATAATTGCAAAATGGTTAAAACCAGCCTTACAAAGGCGGGTATACCACCATTACTTCATCCATGTCTTTTGGATTGCCTGTGCTTCATCAGAATGCTTGCAGTGTGATAAAACTGATAATGTGAAACATGAAGAAGTACTATTCCCACCTGTATTGTATATGGCAAAAAAACACGTTCACAGAGGCGAAAGATCAGTTTAGATAAGAGCTTTTCGTCATCATATTGATACCTGAGGACTTAAGACATACATGAGGCTGTTCGTACGTTCTCGTCCTTAAATACAGGTACTAATATAACATGTATATATCTGATTTTCGATCCTTTTAATAACTAAAAAATAATCCATAGAACTGACCATGCTTTGGTCATTTTACCGTTGAAAGTTTCGCTTGTGATGCGCAGACTGAAACCTAATCTTAATCACGGAACTAAAGCTTCAAAAGAACAAATGATTATATTATTGTATTATATTATTGTATTTCTCATATTTCTTCACTTGTACGTATATTTGATGATGACTAAAATCTAGTCGAACGTCGAATAAACACTTGGTGTTTCCACAAACAAAAAGTGTTATATAATTACAAATGTGTTGTTATTTCTCAGTCGGCCTTTCGTGTTTAGTTTCCAGACTATCTCAACAATATGAAAAGGTCAAAGCAGAGAAAGGTGGCCATGAGTCGAAGATAGAAGTTCTAAATACGACAATAAATGGGTATAAACAAGAGTTAGAAACATCTTCAGCACAGTGGAAGAAGCATGTCTCTGTTGAAGAACATCTAGATACTGTTAATGAATGCCGAAGGTAAAATTTGCCTTTTTTCATTTTCTTTTATTCAATTGATATTTTTAGTTTAGACCACAGGAAAGTATAGGAGTATACGCTCCTTAAAAAATCTAATATGCATCGTTTTCTATTTTGGGATATGTGGGGTCCTTCCTTAGGCCAAGACAATATATGCGACCTTGTCGAAGATCCTACCACCCTGACCACCAGCTAGACCTGAACAGATGGTATTCCCGCATAACCTCGCCGCCCGAATGATTATATACAATGCCTTGATCCCCTGTCCCAGCCCTTCCCAATTCCTGTACCAGATCAGGCTGAATACAAACACAAAAATTTCTCAATTCTGATTGTTTGAAAGCAGTGCATTTTTATACAAATAACTCTACTCAGTAACTATACAGCCATAAAACCGTATAAAACTACACGGCCATACAACCATAACTATAGAAGCGTATTTACCAAAATATATAATTCAGTGCGATGTTCTGTTGTTTAAGTTGTAGCTAAATGGTTGCTTCATTGGTTATCTGGTTTGTTTGTGTCCTTGTTACTTCTACAGGTACCTATAGCTTATATTTTTTACGAATAGAAAATTAGACGAATTACGAAAAAAGACCCAAGAAGAAATAGATTCTCTTACTTTTCAACTGGAGGTTAGCTAACATCCATTGATTCTCGACTTATATATTCTGCTTCGTTTTTTAACAACTAACTTTGTCTGTGCCATCATTTGTTTCTTTTTAGAGTGCCCGTAACGAAAACAATAGCTTAACTCTGCAGTTATCAGGTACTGATCATTAGGAGTCGCTTTTTTCTAAGGTGTTTTCAGCGCACGTTGTTAATTGTTGCCTGCATCAAAGAGGTCTCGGTGGCGCAATCCTCAGAGCAAGCAGCGCCTTTTCCGTCTGAGTTCGTTGGTACTTGCTGCGGACTCATGACACTTATGTAAAAGCCGCA